CCCGGCGGTGAACCTGCAAGGCCAGCGGGAGTGCGAGGAAGCCCCGCCAAGGCCCTCCCTGGCCCCAGGCAGGCAGAGGTGGGGAGAGGCGGGGGGGAAGCAACTTACCCTCCCTCTTCTCCTGCCTCCTCCTGGCTGAATGAGGGCCGGAAGCGGGGCGGCCGGAAGCAGGGGGCGGGGCTTCATCATGTGCCCCGCCCCCTCGTGCCTCACCCGGGGGAACTGCGATCCCCCGCGATCCCCCCCGAAATGACCTCTGCTGGATGACACAGCAGGTTGAGGAGTTGCCCCTGGCCTTGAGTGACTTTTGAAAAAAGTGGCCAGAAAAAGAAAACCCAGCATGGAAGCAACTTGTCCACAACCCTTTTGTGGTATGCTTTTATGCTTTAGACGTTCATGTGCTTGGCCCTTCTGGACTGCGACCTGGCTTGTGCTCTTCAGATCTGCCCTTCTGGTTTGCCCCTGGGACTTTTGGCTAGCTGTGTTTTGACCCCCAAAGTGTTTTTGGACTACACCTATTGCCTCTCACCCCAAGTGCCTGTCTGAACCAGAACAGCAGTGTTTATTTCTGTGTAAAAATGTTTAGGATTATTCTGTAACAAGTGAGGGCATGCAAGGCTTGTGGGGGGCCACCCCACCCCACCCCACTATCTCACTGAACCTGACATGGCCCCAGGGCTCCCCTGCAACTGCCACTGTGCCTGGTGCAGCCCCTGGACTCTCCGACAGCTACTGCTGGGCCTGGCCTGGCCTGGTTCCCGGACTCCTCAAACTGCCAGAGGTAGGTGCTTTTTCTGCTTTTTCTCTTTTTTTGGGGGGGGGGAATTAACCCCTCCTTGAGATAACCCCTCCTTGGTATATTCTTTTTATTTCAGATTTTTCTGCAAACTGGGGAGGTCCCCCAAGTTTGCTGAAAAATCTGCTTAGCATCCTTGTGGCTCTGATCCATGGATTTAGGTATCCACTGATGTGGGACATACATCACTAATAGTATATAGACGCTACACTTCTATGTGCAGTCACTCGGGAGTAATATCTTCTGAACCCATCGTACTTGCTTCCAAACAAACATGCATAGAGACAAGGCATAAGTCTCCAAGCTCTAAATATAGCTGCTTCTGTTACTTGCTCACATCCTGTCTTGGACCGAGCCCAAAAATACTTGTAATCAAAAGACAGATTCATTTATGGATACAAGATAGTATGGAGGAATTTTACTGAATGGGGAAAATATACAACTAAAAGCAGTTATATTTTTCCTCTCTACCTGCTCACTCAGGCATTTAGCCGGGGGGGGGGGGGGGGGGGGACAGGAAGCGTTTTCCTTTCCTTTTAAAAAAGTTATAAAGTATTTAGTAAAAAGAATGCATATCCTGAAGATGCCATTGCACAGATCAATAGTGTCTAGAAGCCAAGAAAGAGACGATGAGCCAACAAAGATTCTGCTTTAAATGATAAATCTGTGCTTTTCCAGGCTCAAACACATTCCCCCACACCCCCAAGGATGTATAACTGCAGAAGTGCTTGCCTTAATTTTTAAAAGAAAATTTCTCACTCAACAAGGCATCAGTTCTCTGGTTAATTTTTAGGTTTGACTGATATTTGCCATGCAACATAATGTGGTGGCCCCTGAAATATGAGAAAAGATCTGGTATGCATGAGAACTAGATTGCCAGATGAAGTGGTCCATATGCATAAGAATGAAGTACTGTAAAACCAGGACCTGCCACATGTTTTAGTTGCGAGATCCATGAACATATATTTATCTTTCTATAGAAGGTGTCCTGGCTTGGTAGTGAAACCCTACGGCCTAGTTTGTGGTTGGTGCCTGTGCTAAAAACCTCAATTAGTGTGGTATAATAGAACAAGTTGTGGGCTTATCTTTTTGGAGACTGATGTGGCGCAGGAAGCTGAACGACCAAGAGGACCTTTAGATCGCTGTGATTTAGAAACAGTCAATAGCGTTTAATTTCACAAGCTGCAAAATCATCTTATGTGGCTTGCAAAACAAATCTGGCCTCGAAGTGGAATTCTGCTTGAAGCTTCCCACAGCGCCATTTTCACACTCTGGTGGCAGCCTTATGAAATTCCAAGAATGACCCAGGGGTGAAGCTCAACAGAACATGTGAACATCTCTTCTCTACAAACTTTTACATAGTGCTGAGTATAATTTCTGACTCCTGAAATACTTACTCACACTCAGTCTGGCACAATTAACATAGAAATCTATCACATGCTTATCGTATCAACTTCTATGGCACACATAAAGGGGCAAAATGTTGCATACTAGAACACACAAACAGCTGCAGCTAAAATTCTAGATGATTTGAAATAACCTGAAGAGGCAAGCCAACCATTTGCAAAAAGACTCCAACCCATATATATACTGTTAAACGTTTTAAATGCACCAATACCAGAGAAATGTGAAGTGATAAACTTACAGAATTCCTCCATGTCGATGTCTTCCACAGCATGGATGCCTGTCAGGTGAGCAATTCGCCCTTGTATTCTGGTCCTCCTGTATCCATTGGTTTTCTCAACTCTTTCTATCATCTGCTGTTGACGGTCAATCCAGTATAGATGGTTTCCCAGCACTGTCAATCCCATTGGCTGAAGAATGTTGGAGTCCTGTAGTGTCACGCGATTAGCTCCTGAAAGTCAAATTGAATCTTTGTTGACAACCCTGAATCTTTAAAAAGGACTTTTAAAGAACTGTTTAAACAGTTATTACTATAACTATTACTTAATTTGTGCTTAGCAAAATCAGCATTCTGAGCTTTGAAAGATATAAAAGTGATAAAAATCCCCCTTTCAAGGATTCAGTATCTGAATAAGAGTAACAGAATGGATGCAAAAAAGGGAATAATAAGGAAGACGATCCAACTGGTACTAGAATGTGCAGAAAGATTTGATACGATATTTGAATGGGTGAAGAGAACTGGTTTGATTGACAGAGGGAGCAACACAGGAAAAGGCTTCAGGCCACAGAAAGAAACAGAACAAAAACATGCTCTTATAGAGTTGTATAGAGCCTGTAACATTTGAAAATAAGATTCACTTGAGTGGATGAGACCAAGTAGTTATTCTTTTTTAATATTTCCAAGCACATTATGTTTTTAACACACACTCAGGAGCAGTGTTCCCTCTAAGCTGAGTTAGTGTGAGCCAGCTCTCAGTTTTTTAGCCTCCGGCTCACACACTTTTGCCTTTGCTCAGGAAGGAGGGCTCCAGAACAAACTAATTTATGAAGTCGCCCAATCGCTCGCTCACAACTTTAATGCCAGTAGCTCGCAAAGTAGGAGTTCTGCTCACAAGACTCCACAGCTTAGAGGGAGCATTGCTCAGGAGCATTCCAGGTAGCAAACAGCTCATTTTGAACTGAAAATCTTGCAAACGGGTCAGCTATCTGATCAGCTTGAGTGCACAGGCCCATATAAACATGCTGCTTCCCATGTGCAATGCAGTCAGAACTGTTAATGGTTTTTACTCAGCCTAACAGCCCATGTGTGCAATGCCTGCATATGAGCAATAGATGACCTAGCTGGAAACCATGCTCATGTGGAGCATTTATCATGAGCTGATGCTGAAAATGGAAACCAAAAGGATTCAACGGGCTCTGTTGTGTTCGCACCCTTTCAAAGCGGCAGTACGAAGAATCGGAAGCATATAATCTGATCCGTAGTGAAGAGTTTCCCACCCACCCCCGTTGAACATCTAATCAGTGCTATCAGATCTGAAAATGTTAAATACCTTGCGCTAGAAGTATGTCTGCAGCAGGGCTACCAAGGTTTAGGTGATGGCTGGAGATCTCCTGAAATTACATCTCGTCTCCAGACGACAGAGATTAGCTCACCTGGAGAAAATGGCCGCTTTGGACTCTATGGCTTTATATCCCACTTGCAGGGGTCATTTTGTAGAAAAGGAGGCGCAGGAGCTCATTAGCATAACTTATTTGCATATGCCACACCCCCTGACATCACCAGATGTGTGTCAGAAGGCAACACTCACCGCTTAGGCTCCACTGGACTGTTTGCTAGTTATTGGGGGGGGGACACGGGACGTGCAGATCTGTCCTCGCAGAGGAGGGAGAGCTTGTACCTGAATAAAACTTGGTCTTAAAGGTGCCACTGGACTGTTTTGGCCTTGGGGGTCTCTGCAGCTTACCTGGCTGCTTCTTGCTCTGACTGAGGGCTGCTGGGAGCAGGGGGTGGGGCTTGTTGCATGTGCCCGCCCCCTGGGCTCTTTACTGCCGGAGCTCCGCTCCTGTGCGCTCCTGCAGGAAATGACCCCTGCCCCACTGAACTCCCTCCCTAACCCCTGACCTCCTCAGGCTCCACCGTCAAAATCCCCACGTATTTCCCAACCCAGAGCTGGCGACTCTAGTCTGCAGGAGGGGTGTGTGGCTTTTAACTCTGCTACAGCTGGGGTTGCCACCTCTGGGTTATGAAATTCCTGGAGATTTTGGGGGTGCAGCCCGGGGAGGGGAGATACCTCAGTGGGGTATAATGCCATAGAGCCCCACCTCCCAAAAGCCATTTTCTCCAGAAGGACGGATCTCTTTTATCTAGAGACCAGTTGTAACTCCAGGGCACCTCCTGCCACCACCTGGAGACTGACAATCCTACCTACAGCAGGTGTATCGTTCCATGAGCACACAGCATCGCATGGATTACAGCCAGGGACTTTACATGCATCTGAGCAGACCACTAATCTTCAATCACAACTTGTGCTTATTTGCTTTATTTAACATCTTGGCTTCAATGAGATGCCCTGCAGAATAGTTTATAGCCACTTATAAGTACTGGAGGGCAAAGGGAAGGGCAGGGATGGGAGTTATGGTATATTTGCAGTGGCTCTGGAACAAAGCACTGCAGTGGTTTTGCCACAGGGGCATCAAGTCGACACTTCAATTTTAAATTGTATTGTTAGTCTGGTTGCCCATACATGTATATCCTGCATAACCGCAGATCCAGGTGGTATACGAATCAAAGAAAAATATCAAGATGATCACACTTTAGCTCTGTGACAGTGTAGATAAAATACATCAAACAGAGTACATAAAATACATAAAAAAATTACAATCATAATTTAGGACTGTCAGTCCTAAATAAAACCATTTTCGGCTGCCTCCTGAAAGATCAAAAGCGAGAGAAATCAGGCACACCTAGGGTTGCCATGTCCGTCTTCCACCCCCAGCGGGGGACTTTGGGGGCGTTCCTGGAGGGGGCGGGGCATCCCCGACGTGATGGGGTCACGTTGGGGACGTCTGCCCCCTCCACCCGCCCGTACGTCGGATCTCCAGAAACGGCAGTTCCCTGCACTTAAAGGAGCCGGCGTTTCCCTTTTAAATGCAGGAGCTGGCGTTTCCCTTTTAAATGCAGGAGCTGGCATTTCCCCTTTAAGAGCACGAAGCTGGCATTTCCCTGCAAGCTTGCGGAGATCGGGCTTGGGAGGAAACACGGGTTCCACACACTTAAAGGGAGAGAGATGGGTGGCTGTGGGTGTTGGGGGCGGGGCTTCCCCCGCCGGCCATCTGGCCAGCGGTGGGGAGAACCCCCCCCAAAAAACGGGGGACCCCTGGCAAACTGGGGGGGATGGCAACCCTAGGCACACCTCTGTAGTGAGGTGGTTCCACATGGGACAAATTATAGTCTGGTGAATCAGAGTAAGGAGAGAGCTCTATGATATATGCACATCTCTTTGGTATTCAACTAGCTAACTTCATAAGTGCCTCTGTTTAAGACCTTCAGCAATGGGCAGGTTCCTAGGGGAGCATACAGTCCTTAAGTTACTCAGACACTGTCTAGGACCACATCCCTGAACATTCAGCATATGTATGGTTTGAAACAGCATATAAGAATTTATAGGGGACTGAGCAAAGGGTAATCCCAAGTGTAACCAAGACTGTTAGAACATTGAACAGTAGACCAAATAATGCCTAGGTAAGAAGTGGCCTTCTTGTCTCTGTCCACTTTCTTTAATAACTTGTTCTTGGTGGCCTGATACAAGACTTAGTATTAAAGGAAAGGGACATTGAACAAAACCAGTTGTGGCACATGGCACATTCGTAGCTTTGACAGATGAAAAACCTCGGTCTGGACAAATGACATTGTCCATATGGCAAATGCTTTATGAGTAGAGTAAGCTCATCCCACAAATGGTAATGGTACCTAGAGATCATAGAATGTTAGAGTTGGAAGAGACCTTGCAGGTCATCTAGTCCAACTCCCTGCACTCTGCAGGAGCATAGCTGAAAGATAGCCCTACAACATACCCGAAAGATGGTCGCCCAGCCTCCGCTTGAAAACGTCCAGCGAAGGAGCATCCACCACCTCCCGAGGCAGACTGTTCCACTGCTCAACCACTCTTACAGTTAGGAAGTTTCTCCTGATATTTAGCCAGTAACGACTCCCTTGTAATTTCCACCCATTAGATCTAGTCTTGCAATCCAGAGCGAGAGAGAATAGATCTGCTCCATCTTCTACATGACAGCCCTTCAAATACTTGAAGACTGCAATCATGTCCCCTCTAAGCCTTCTCTTCCCCAGGCTAAACATACCCAACTCTTTCAGCCTTTCCTCATAAGACTTGGATTCCAACCCTCTCACCATCCATTCTGCATTTTCTTTGCAACTCTTCTTGAGCTGTAATGTATTTCAATGGAGCCCATGCAAGGAAATTGGCATTCTTGGTTTCCATTATTTCCAATGGGGCTTCAAGTCTCTCCCTGAAACATTTTTGTGCAATAAACCTCTTGTATTTATTATTTAGTTGTTATTTAGAAGTATGAGCATGGCATGGCAGTACCACACAGGCATATAATGGCAGGGCCCCTGAGAAAAATATTGGCCCCTGAGCAAAAAGTTGTTACCAAGGGGCTGTCCCCAAGGATCCCACAACGTTCACTTCATCAACCAGTTCTTCCCTGTTAGTCAGGATTAAATCCAAGATAGCAGGTCTTCTGGTTCCCACCTCCACCTTCTGAGAGATGAAGTTGTCCGTAAGACTATTCAAGAATCTGCGGGATGCCCCATGTCTAGCAGAGTTAGATTTCCAGCAAATATCTGGATAGTTGAAATCTCCCATAATCACCACATCCTGTCTCTGTGAAAGTTTAGCAAGCTGTTGTACAAATGCATCATCCAATTCCTCCGGTTGGTTTGGAGGTCTGTAGTATATCCCCACAATATCCCCTTCTTTTCCCCCTCGCTCTATCCTTACCCACACACTTTCGACAGGGCAATTCTCGAAATCCTGAATTTCAGTGCAAGTGTATTCATTCTTGACATATAGCGCCATCCCACCTCCTTTTTTGTTTATTCTGTTCTACTTGAACAAGGTATATCCTTCAATCGCTGTGCTCCATATATGAGACTCATCCCGCCAAGTCTCAGTGATACCTATCAGATCATACTTACTTTTCAGTACTTGAAATTCAAGTTCAACCTGTTTATTTCCCATACTCTGTGCATTAGTATAAAGACATCTCAGGTTACAGACATCCTTTCCTATCTTAGGTCCCTTCGAATTTACCTGAAAATTACTGAACTCACCACTCTCCTGTTCATTTATTCTCTGGTCACTCCCTTTCTTGAACTTAGTGTTGGGGATGCCGCACAACATCAGGTTTTTCTTCCCACCCCTGATGGCT